ACTCACTGTCAGTGGATGTCAATACAGTAGATTCTTGGTCTATAACTTGAGGCTGTGGCCTTCTGTATTTTTGAGTGTGGCAATGTGCTTTCTTTACCTATTGTCTCATTTATCTCCTTTGCCTCCCCTCCCCCTCCTTCTTCCTGCTTAGAGCAGAAGTGTAATGACTGAAGCTCCACTGGCCACCTCGAATCTCATGGCAACCGTGAGAGTGCAAGCCTTGTGTTAAGAAGTGCAGAATAAAATGTTAGAAAAGACTTGGGCTCCTAATGACCATGGGTATACCTTACCAGCCCTAAAACTTCAGACATGTTACATATATGAGAAAAACAAAACCCTTTATGTTTAAGCCACAATATTTAGGTTCTCTGTTATAGCAGCTGAATGAAGTTTCTAAGTGATACAGGACTTCCCATAACAATATGAAGTCATACATGTGAGGCCCTACTAAACACAATGTGTGGAATTCAGGCAGTGGGGTATGAACAGAGCTGATACAACAGCTTTTTCTGAACTTTTGAGCTGTGTTTGTCTTATTTCTTAGCGCATAAACCAGTGTGTGTTGGAGTGTGTTAAGTAGAAGACTCTCCTTGTTGAAAGGGTTGCCTATGCTTTGCTGAAAGCAGTTATTTTGGTGCAATGTCAGGGCTCTTCACCCTTTAAAAAGAAAACTCCCTTTGATAACCCCTTTGACTGCATTGCCCCTCAGAGAAATACTTAGGTTTAAACAATCATTGGTTAACTATCACAACTTTTAAAACAATTATTTGTAATTACCATATAAATTCCTACTATTACTGAACAGTTTGGGCACCTACTATATGCCAGGCACTGTGCTTAATATCTGTATGCATTATATCACTTCATATTCTCAATAATCTAGGAAGGTTGATGTTGAAGTGCTACTGTTATTTCCTTCCCTTACAGCAAAACGTGCTCTTTAACATTTGAGTTAATTTTATAAACTGACTTTTTAATGAATTTGTTCTACCTCTATTACTAAAAATTTTTCCTTAATAGACACTTGCAGAAGTCCAGTTGGAAAGGTTCAGTATTGTTTCATCAGGGGGGCATCAGGCATCATTAAACTCAGAGACTCCCTCCCTCCACAGCCTTACATTTACAGGAATTTTAAATCTTTCATCAAGCTCTTTCATCATTGTGTTGGCTGGTAAGCCTCAGTCCTGCCTGGCTGTAGGTGCATGCTTTACTGTGGGTACTGGTGGGTGGGGGATCACTCCAAAGACTAGGTGGTTAATGGAGAAGAGATATAATGGGAGAATGGATAATCTCCCCTAATGAATACCAGGCTATGAACAAGCTTTGACAAATTAACTGAATAATCATAACATAAATGCTCTCACATTCCCACACCCATGCTCATCCATGTATCTCCCAATCTCGTTCTCTTAAAATCCACAATGGGAATTGAGTTTTCTTAACACCTATTTTTCTTGTATGCTAGCACTGTGATTACAGATACCTTATTTTAAAGAAAGACTTTGGAGAATCTGCCCAGCAGATATTAGGGGCTTAATAAATAAATTACTATCACTTCCAGAAAGGAAAGTGTGAAATAAAAGTAGCTGGCTTAGGGTTTAAACATTGGACTGAAAGTGGCAACTCCTGAGACCACATGATACTTTGAGCAGTGCTACAGGTGCTCTCAGGGACCCAGAAGAGTCAGCAGGGTCCACATTTGTTTGGAATTCATTTTTATAAAATAAATTTTCCTTTTCCTTGAATATATCTGTGTTACAGTTATAGTATTTACTCAGCTTAAAATTGGGGAAGATAATATCAGTCACATAGAAATATTTATTTATAAATTTCTTTTATGCTGAAATGGTTAATAAAAGTAGGTGATATGTTTTAATGATGTTAATTCTTCCAATCTATGAACATGGTATATGTTCCCATTTATTTGTATCTTCCTCATTTCTTTCTTCAGTGTTCTATAATTTCCTGAGTATAGGTTTTTTACCTCCTTGGTTAAATTTATTCCTAGGTACTTTATTTTTCTTGTTGCTATGGTAAATGGGATTTTTTTCCTAGTTTCTCTTTCTGATAGTTCATTGCTGGTGTACAGAAATGCCATCAATGTCTGAATATTGACTTTGTTACCCACTATTTTGCCAATTCACTTATTAGGTCGAATAGTTTTTTGGTGGAGACTTATAGGGTTTTCTACGTACGCTATCATGTCATCTACAAATAATGACAGTTTTACTTCCTCCTTTCCAATTTGAATGCTTTCAATTTCTTTTCTTGTTTGATCACTGTGGCTAGGACTTCTAGTATGACTTTGAATAAAAGTGGTGAAAGTGGACATCCTTGTCTTGTTCCTAATCTCAAGGGGAAAGCTTTTTGGTTTTGCCCATTGAATATGATGTTGGCAGTAGGTTTCTCATATGTGGTCTTTACTGTATTAAGGTATGTTCCCCTCTATTCCCACTTTGCTGAGTGTTTTTATCATAATTAGGTGCTAGGTTTTATCAAATGTCCTTACTACCCAAAACAACCTATAAATTCAATGCAATTCCTATTAAAATACCAATGGCATATTTTACAGATCTAGAACAAATATTCCAAAAATTTATATGGAAACAAAAATGGCTCTGAATAACCTTGGCAATCTTAAGAAAAAAAAACAAAGTAGGAGGGATCACAATACCTGACATAAAACTATATTACAAGGCCACTGTAATCAAAATAGTCTGATACCAGCATAAGAGCAGACACATACATCAATGGAACAGAATAGAGAGCCCAGAAATAAACCTATGTTTCTATGGTAAATTAATATTTGACAAAGGAGACACAAACATACAATGGAGTAAAAATAGTCTCTTCAATAAATGGTGTTGGGAGAATTGGACTGGTATCTGCAAAAACATGAAACTAGACCACCAACTTACACCATGTACCAGAATAAACTAAAAATGGATAAACGACTTAAATGTAAGTTGTAATACCATAAAAGTCCTAAAGAAAAACATGGGCAGTAAAATTTCAGATATCCTACATAGCAATATTTTTGCTGATACATCTCCTAAGTCAAGGGAAATAAAGGAAAAAATAAAAAAAATAGGGCTATATCAAATTAAAAAGCTTGTGCATGGCTAAGGAAACCATCATGAAAATGAAAGGGAACTGACTATATGGGAGAACATATTTTGCCAATGATACATCAAACAAGGGTTTAATCTCCAAAATATACAAAGAACTCATAAAACTCAACACCAAGAAGACAAACAATACAATTAAAAAAAAGGGCAAGGGACCTGAATAGACACTTCCCCAAGGAGGACATACAGATAGCCCATAAGCATATGAAAAAATGCTCAACATAACTAGCCATCAGAGAGATGTAAATTAAAACCACAGTGAGCTATCACCTCACTTCAGTCAGGATGGCCATTATTAATAAGTCAACAAACAACAAGTGTTGGAGAGGATGTGGAGAAAAGGAAACCCTTGTACATTGTTGGTGGGAATGCAGACTGTTGCAGCCACTGCAGAAAACTGTATAGATGTTCTTCAAAAAATTAAAAATGGAACTGCTTTTTGACCCAGTGACTCCACTGCTGGGAATATACCCTGAAAATCCTGATAACACCAATTCAAAAGAAGTTATGCGGCCCTATGTTCATACCAGCACAATTTATAATAGCCAAGTGCTGGAAACAGCCTAAGTGCCCATCTGTAGATGAGTGGATCAAAAGACTGTGGTACATTTACACAATGGAATACTATGCAGCAGAAAATAGAAGGAATTTCTACCTTTTGTGATATCGTAGTTGGAACTGGAGAGTATTATGCTAAGTGAAATAAGCCAGTTGGTGAAATACAAATGCCATATGATCTCACTTGTAAAAGGAATCTAATGAACAGAATAAATTATCACACAAAATAGAACCAGAGACATGGAAATGTGGAATAGACTGACAGCTGCCAGAGGATGGGGGGAGGGGGATAATGGTAGAAAGAAGGGGAAAGGATTAGTCAAAAACATGTATGAATGACTATGGACGTGGGTAGTAGTGTGGGGATTGACTGTGGGAGTGGGATATGGCCTGGTCAGAGGAGAGCAAAGGGGGGGAAATTGGGACAACTGTAGTAGAATAACAATAATAATAAAAAAGAAGGTGATATAAAATAAAATGATTGGATCAAAGTGTGCCCTCCTACTTCCAACCAAACTCTAAAAATGTTGAGCATAGTCACCCACTTAAAATATATTTTTGCTTTTCTCTTTTGAAGTTGAGAGAAAAAGCAATGCCCAAGTGAGAACTGAACTGGGAATAGAGGGGTGGTGTGCAGAGGCAGTGCTTGGCAAAGAGGTGTTCCCATCCTTTAACATGAATCAGTGAGGGAGAGAAACCCAGCAGGAGAAATGAGGTATGACCCTGTGTGCTGTGATTGAATGACATATTCAGGTCTGCTTATGAAAACCTCCTCAGGGACCAACGTGGAAATGGCTAATAATTTATTTTGGATAAAAAGAATCTTCCTGTTCTAGGTTAAATAAAAGGAATTAGGAAGAAGGTCTTTTCCTTTTAACAGAACTTTTCTTCAAAGAGCCCCACAGTCAGGGTCATGCCCATTTTGCACAAAATCACGGGGCATTCTGAAATGCATTGGTACTCACACAACAGGGAACCAGTTCTCCCCTCAGCCATGCCCAGTGGGTGGTTATGTATTTGGGGATGCTGCATCCACACTTTTAGGTCACTGGGGGTCCAGTTAATGAGTGCACTGAACGATCAGGGTGTTTGGTGTCCTAGAGACCAAAGAATAGTATTATTGAATTAATGTTTCATTTATCATTTGGATGGCTCCATATCTCGAAGACAGTGTCAATCATCAATAAATGGCACCCCAGTGGCCAAGAAGAGTCAATGGGCCCATTGCAAACTTGCCCCACATTCATTTCTGCTCCAGGTTTTTCTTCCTTCCCATTAAATACAGCTGGACAATCAAAAGGAGAAAAGTCATACCTGTAGTATTCATCTCCCACAAAAAAAAGGGTCTTCTGTGCATCCTTGAGATAGACGGCAGCATCTATTCGCTGCACATACCTTGGAAACCCAAAGTCATAAATAGTCCGAGGAGGACCCTGCATTTGGAATCCTCTTGTTATCCAGTAGTGAGGGCCTGAAAACAGAAATTAAAGTTTACAAAACCCTGCACCACTTAGTGATATACTTCACTCATGAGGACTTCCATGCAGGATCATAAATGGGGCTAGTTAAAATTTGCCCTGGAGGCATCTTCCAACCACAGCTAAACAAAGGTAAAATATAATACCTTGGCATTGGTATTGTTCTTACATTGGGATCTATGTTGGCTTCTGTTAAGTAGAGGCTCTCAGGAGGGTATGCTATGCCACTCTGAGCAGTGACCATGGGGACAGGAATCAAGTTTCTAGCTCCTTGATCATGGTCCCTTAGCATAAAGCCTCATTAGGGTAAAGGCTTTGCTCTAAGAATAGTTTGATAGTCACCGTCAATTCTGTCATTGTCACAGTACAAGGAGGTGGCATTTCATACTCCACCTGAGGAGAAGGAGTGACCAAAAAATGTTTCATGACCCCTGACCAAATGCAGACAGTGCTAGGTATTCCAAACATATTGGACCCTGCCATGTAGGGCAGGGGCCTTCAACCTCAGGGCTGCAGACTGGTACAGGTCTGGGTCTGTTAGGAACCAGGTAGCACAGCAGGAGGTGAGCTCGAATGCAGTGTGCTTGAATCATCCTGAAACCATTCCACACCCCTGTCTGTGGAAAAATTGTCTTCCAGGAAACTGGTCCCTGGTGCCCAAAAGGTTAGAGACCTCTGCGGTAGGGTACCTTTAAAGAAGTAAGCAGTGCCCCTCTCAGCCACTTCGTAAGCTGCATCCACATTGGACATAAGCTGGGGAAAGGAGCTGGTGATGGTGCTGGGCCGGATCCCTGCCATCAGGTGAACCTGCCGACGCCAGAAAATCCTATTGGGTGACCCAGAAGAAATCCAGATCAAGGGTTAATTTAGATCTTAAATTGAACTGAAATGTACTGCACACCACAAATGAAATGATAAATGCCTCTTGCCCTTGTCTTGTTTTTAAGGAGAACATACATTTTTGACCTTAGTAAACAGTTTCTTCTCTGCTTTCATTCTCTTAGCATCTCTACAATCCCCCTTCCTTCAAGGATGGTCAAAATACTGAAAGATATAGTGAAGAAACGACATCAATGGTTTATACATGTAAGCCATGCACCTTCCTATTGAAAGTATCATTTGATATGTTTTCTTTTCCTATCCTGATCTTTTAAAAATTAAAATCTCACAATGATAAATATTATCTAGGTGAGCATTATAAACATTACATAAATGAACCCAAATTGTGTGGTTGGAAGGTGCCAATTATTCCTAGTAAAAACAGCAAACATGTTAATTATAGATTATTGTGTTGCTTCTGCACTTATCTATTGAAAGTGTTTGCAACTTTGAACCTGACTGCTAATTAACAGAAAATATGGTAGCACACAGGTTAAGTTTAGGTTTAGCAGCATCCACTTACCTAATATTATTTCCATAAAACTATGGCAGTACACATGAATGTTGTTGGTTGAAACTTGCAATGTAAATGTGGTCCATTTTGGTTTTCCAGACAAAAATTATTTTTGTAAATTACAAATACTTAGTTGACTCCACAGAAGCTAGAGTCAATATGGAAAACTATTTGTGGATGAAGAAACTGTAATAAAGTTTTGACATTTAACTTTCCGTGTAGTGACTTAAGGAACTCCTCAAATCTCATGTTGTGTTTCCTATTCAATTAATTGAACAAATATTTATGGCACATCAAGGATGGAACATTGAACAAGACCTAGGCCCTGCCCCCAAGCAGCTTGCAGTCAGACTAGTAGTAGAGACAAGTAAGTAATTGGGACATTCTAATTCAGGGGAATCAGAATTAAGAGGTAAGTCCTGGATGCTCTGGGAATGCGCAGAAAGGACACCTAGTGACATTTAGGTGTCCCTTAGATATTCAGGTATCCCACACATTCAGAGGATTCACAATCTTAGAGCTATAGATTACAATGATAAATAAATTAAAATTGACAAAAGAGAGTATAGTAATCTCCTAATACACCTGTAAATGGATTTAAAATATAAACTATGCCTCTGCCCCCAAACTACAAACTTGTTGGATAAGAACAGCTGCAGGATCCATTAAAACTGGTAAGGAAAACAGATAAAGAGATCATATCAATAATCTATAATCTGATTTTTGATAAAGAAGCCAAAACAATGGAACTTATTGATGGAATGGACCTGCAGATGAGATATTTAGCTTCACTGTTTATTTTTCTCTGCCTGGGAGCCAGCACTGTGCCTGGCACATAGTCAGGGCTCAATAAATATTTGTTGGTAAAATAAATGGGTGCCAGAGGGTTGAACAGAATTTATTTGATCTTCGATTTTCATACTGTCTGCAATTGTCACTCCCTTTTACTAAAGAATAGCAACTAGTTCATCAAGTTTGAGATTAGGTCACTGGGGAACTTCCCCTGGCCCTTCACAGCTCTCAGCCAGCCCTGGGAGCTCCTGGGGGGCAGGGTCATGTACTAGTCATCCTTTAAGCTTCGGTTTAGCAGAGTGCCTGGCACAGCTAGGGACTTGGCCCATGTTTGTCAAACCTCTGTTCTTTTTTTGTTCTACCAACCACCTTCACTCCTACCTTTCTAAGCTGATCTCATCCGTCTTTCATTTTCAGGAGACACCTTCCTCTCCTGTTTGCTGGACCGTTGAGGTAATCCAGCATGAGCTGAATGGGCACCTTGATTTTCCATCCTCTTCAACTCTATTCTCCCTGACTCTGTTTTTCTCTGTCATCCTATTCCTTAGTTTCAGGGGAAGAGGTGTCTTTCTTCTTTCTATCTTTCTGAACTGCTGCTCCTCTGCCCTGAGACGGTGCTGCAGCAATAGAAGCAAGGGGTGCTTGAAGCTTTGTTTTATCATCAGATATGTGACCTCATGTGAGTCACTTAATTTTCTGAGACTCAAGTATGTTCTGTCAAATAAGAGTGAAAATAATACTAATATGTGTACTAGTACTCTAAAGGACCAATTGAGATAATGCATATGAAGGCATTTTATAAACTCTGGATTATACTTACAATTATTTGTTGATACTTTAAAAAGGCATGTTTTCACTCTACAAATTTATTATCTGGTGATATATAAAATTTAAACTTAGAGTTTATCAATAGAGCCAAGTTTCTTTCTCAATTTATCTCCCTGCTATGAAATATTTCTGTCACTGGAAACTTTGAAGTACAAACTCTCACACTGCTAGCTGAGAACCATTCATTTTGAGGGGTTCACTAACCAGGTTTGCTTTATCAGAGTATTTTAGAGGATGAGAAATCAACCATGCACCATCCATCTCTCTGAGCCCAAGCAAAATACAGCTTATGAGTCAAACTCCATGCTGAGAGAGTGGTGTGGGTTAAAGCCATGCTTAGTCCCCTTAAATTACCTGTTTATAACCATCTGAGAAGATGATGGGGGACCATATTTATCAACCATAACCTGTGAAGACGTGAAGGATCCTTTTCTTAGCCAGAAGGAGGGAGGTCAGAAGAAATGATGAACCTGGAATCTTAGTATACCTTCTGCCTCTTTGAATTTTTAATACACAACAGAGGATCCGTCTAAGTCAATACAATACTGTTCATTGACTTTCAGGGATGCAACCTTACAGAAAAGACACTCCTCCAGGGAGACTGCGAGGAAGGAACACTTCCTCTTCAGTCACGCTGACTTTCCTCAAGCCCATGGAACCCTGAGAAATGCTAGATTCCCAATGTACTATCTAAATAGCAGTGGTTACTGAGTTTATTGCCCTTCTTTTGCACAGTGCTGTGCATTTCTTTTTTCTACTGGTTCCTTTTCACATCTTCAAATGCATCCAGGTATTTCCTATCTTGAAAAATCCTCATTTGACCCTGCTACCTCTTCCAGCTCTGGATTTACCTTCCCTTGTTATCGATTCTCAAATGAATGGCCTCCCTTAGCGCCCCACCACTGTTCTCTCACTGCACATCATCTGGTTTCCTCCCTCACTGCTCCACTGAAATGACACTCCTTCATTATATAGGCCAGCCCTCCCTTGTCTTCAGTTCTCAATCTGGTGACCTTGGGAAGCATTTCCACTGTTATTCACTTAAAAAAGTCTCTTTTTTTCTGATTTATTTGGGGTACTACTACAGGAATTCTGTCTCTGATGTCAAGTAGATGTAGGTTAAAATTCCTGCTGGAGATGATAACAGTGTGGACTAAACAAGTAAATGTTTGTAAAATGATCAGTGCACTATAAATGATCATAAAATGTCCATTATTGTTGTTATTATTATTGGAGTTTATTTTCACACCTTTAACCATCTCTTCTGTGTGGGAGATTCCATAACCTGCGAAGTCTTCCCCTCTCCTCTGAGCACCAGCTAAGTCCTATAAAATCCCACTAGAATCACAAAACCTGAAATTCAACACATCTAACATCGGGCTTTTCTTCAGGTGCCCCAGAAATCTTGATTTTTCTATTCATGGGAATTATGCTGCTGCTTTTAATGATTTGCCCCATCACTCTCCTCAGCAAAGGACTGTCCGAGTCCTGCTGGTGCCTCCCTCCGCCTGCCTTTGTCATTGATCCTTCTTGTTGATTCCCCTGGGGATTTGCATACCCTTAGAAATGTCTTTCTTTGCATTCTAATGTAAGGTACAGATGTTTTTAAATAAAGAATAAATTTATTTTAAATAAATCTCACTCTGAGAATAAAATGGGATGAGGAGAAGCCTATCACTCACGTTTGGGAAACTCAGGTGGTGGAAGAGCATCTTCTTCCTGTGGCTGTTTGGCTGACTGGCAGGCCAGAGCCCAGGAGACCAGGAGCAGCCCCAAGTGCTTTCCTACTAACTCACATAGACCCAATCAAGGGGCAAAAGTGCATCCAAGTCACTTGGTGCTTCTATTGGTGGCTCCACTGCGTAATCAGAAGGTTTTCTATGCAAGTGATAGGATTGACTCAAGACTGGGAGTCAGAAGACCAGGGTAGCCATGGAGGGTCTGCTCAGCTGGGATGCCTGGCCTAGCTTTCTTATCTCTAAAACAAAGAATTTGGACATGAATGACCTTTATATTTATTCCATCTGTAAAATGCTATTATTCTTCTAAGGTCTATAGCTGATTGTGATATGCTTGATTTTATTCTTAAAATGATATTGTATAAAACTCAGAATAACCTGAGAGATACAAATATAACTTTGGTATGGCTGCAATTTGGTCATTTACCTCTACTCTTCCCAAAGTGCCTTAGGAAAACTGGGAAGTCTCAGTATTTTTGTCATCTATTATAAAGAATAAACATATGTAAATTAAATATGTATGGCTTTCAGCTTATTATACCTGAAGTTTATTTCTCTTCAGACAGAACATTGGAATGTACCCATGTACCTTTATACACTACGGGCAGTATGTAACAGTCTCACAGGGACTTCAAAAGGTGCTGCATTCCATCTTGCTTTGGAAACAAACAATGTGGTTATTACATCCACAGTTTGAAATGTCTCATCAACAGATTAGTGTTGGTGGTGGGGAATTCCAGGCTTGTGGGTGGGAGAGAACAGACTGGGAGCTCTTTCATAATGGCCCCAGGTTGCCAATGTAGCTGTGACTTGAATGAATTTTTTGTTCTTTGTCCAGGCTTAGTGTGCACTTTTGGACTTTTGGTGACAGCCGATAGAGGGTCAGAGCTATAATCATGGGATTCTTTCTCTGGATGACATAGTAGGAGGCAGTAGAGCAGGGTGGTTAGGAGCACAGCCCTGCCATAGGGCAATGGAGATGTGGGTCCCTGTTCTACCCCTCACTAGCAATGTGTTCTTGAGAAAGTTGCTTATCCTTTCTGTGTCTTATAAGAAAAGAATAATGATTCATACCTCACAGGGCCGTAGTAAGGATTTGATGACAAGTGTTTAGAAAGTAAGTACTGAACACACTCAAGTCACTATTACTATCTGACAGCACCTCATTTTAAAATGGAAATGACGAATCTTTCAAGGTCCCATGGAGAGTTAGTGGCAGATCCAGTGCTATAAGGGGGATCACTCATAATCTCTCCCTGACCACTCATTTCTAAGTGTCTCTCATCCATGAGTCTCTTTCTATTCTGTCACCACTCTCGGTATGTATAGGCAAGACTGTCAAAAGATGTATATACTTCAAATAGTCATTAGTAATCGCTAAATGCTCATACTTTGATAGATTGTTTAATTTTTTTTTTTTTTTGCTTTTTAAGAAAACAATTCTAATTGCATGGAAAGGCGTAATATCTTTAACTTCATGGTTGCCTTTGTCTCTACCTCAGCCACTGATATTTGTCAAAAGAATAAGCTACGTGCTACACCATGGCTAGCATCTCATTTCTTTATCACTGAAAAGTGCTACATGCACCGGTGTGGGCAATAGGATGCAAATTTGACAATGTTATCCCTTAGACAGAGCCAACGTCACTTAGCAGGGTGTTCAGGCTCCTTCTGCTGGGTCTCGTGCCAATCACTCCTGAATCAATGCCTATTAATTCCGTTTAAGTTTACTTTCATTAATAGTCAACAAAAAAGTCAATAATCAATGCCTTAATAAAAAATCAATAAAACTAATAGTAATAAAAATACCTCAAGTTTCCAAGCCTCAATCCATTGTACATAATTTTTGATTCTCACTTCTCGATATTTATTGAGTAATCACAGTATGTGGCTCATTACTTCCTCAGGGTCACCTGATCAGTAAGAAGCAGGGTCAGAATTTAAACCAACTTAGCCTGATGCCAAAGCCTGGATTCCTGAGCTCTTGCTCTAATTTGCCTTTGAAAACTGGATGCCCATCCATTTTTAAAGATCTAGTTTAAGCTGTTTATAATTTTTAAAAATTGGGAATAATCTAGATGTTCATAAGTATGGATTGGTTAAATAAGTAATGTTATATTCATTAGAATAATATACAGTGTGGGGCAAAAGTAGGTTTCCAGTTGTTCATATGGAAAAAAATTCATAATGAATAAATAATAACACAAGAATAAACTGTTTCACATGCTCATAACTGTAGAGCTACTTTTGCCCCACCCTGTAAACATACACAAAATAAAGATGAAAATCAAAATCCACTGACATGGAAGAATGAGATGCTGTTGTGTAGAAAAGCTTATACATTACTTTCCTTCACACTTCTAGGACCACCTCATAGTCTTAAGCAGGTTTTAGGCTTACCGGTCCTTGAAGAGTAGGAGCTCCTTGCCCAGCATTGTCACTGCGTCAAAGGATGAGGTGGTGTCACAGACGTCAGGGATCGACGGATTATGAGGGGGGACATTTGGCACAGTGGGCTTTCCTGGGAATGTTTTCCGAGGTCCTAGGAAATCAAAGTGACTTGGTCAAATGGCACCAGGAGTCTGGGGTCTGGACACTTCCACCCCAGAGACCCACTTTCACTGTGTTTGACAAGGTGATGGATCCAGCTTCGCTAGGTGCTGAGTTGTGTGATAAATGGGCAAATAATTTAATCTCTCAAAGCCTCATTCCTCTCATTTGTAAAATGGGAGGGGGCAATAGCAGTACCAACCTCAGGTTTTTGTGAGAATTCAATGGTGCCTGAAAGCACCTGGTAGAATGCTTGGCACATAGTAAATGTTGAAAGAATGGTAGCTATTATTTTATTAGTAGACAATGACTTCTTTGATTGCTACAGGTGTTCCAAGTTAGAGATGGATTTTAAAGGTTGCCACTGATCGTTTCTTTGTAATTAAATACTTTGTTCTCAATAAGATGATAACTTCCTTGTGTGTTTTCATCCACTTCTGGGTGCCCTGCACTGTGCACAGTGTTTCATTAGGCACGCAGGGCAGACTGAGAATTCTGTGGCACTGAAGTGCACTGAAGGTGTTTGGCATTTAAAGGCATTGTCTGTGATATGAGTAACTCGCAGTCCAAGAAACTGTTTTAACGAAGATGACTTCCCCCAGCTTTTGAACTGCCATGGATAGAAGCGGAGCACTACGAAGTGAAGGATGCAGAGACTGGAAGGGGCCAGTGCCTTTGTGTCACTGTGGGGAGCAGGGCTGTCCGACAGGCATGTTATCTGAATCGGTCTTTGCATGAGCAGGAGATAGATCTTACTGTGCATTATGCTAAGCCACTGAGACCCTGGAGATGTTTATTTCAGCAGCCAAGGTGTATTATTCTTATTACTTCACTTTCCCTGCATCCCCCAGCTTATACATAAGAGAATAAATGGAGTGGGGGATTGAGTGTGGGGGGAGAGACATCTTCTGGTGAATCCTCTTATAAAGCAAAGGACTCCAAGGCTTAAAGGAAAACCAGATTCTAGATTTTTCTGCCTTTTATCCATGAAAGAAAAAGGGTTAAGTCCTAACAGTGTATCAAGATTTCTTCTTATGGATTAATGGTTTGTCTTTTTGCTAAGGAAGTGGATATAGAGTGTCTAGTAATCCTTTATTACGGTTGAAAGAATTTAACACTTGAGATAATTTTGAGTGTCTTGGATACTTACTGTCACTGAGCCTCAGCTTTCTCAGCTATAAAATGGGGAAAACACTTCACACCCCGCAGGCTGGTTGTGAGGATGGTACAAGATAACTCAGGACATTTTTTTTTTGTAAACTGCAGATTGTCTGTGCAATTGAGTGATATACTTATTATTGTCATAATTGCTGTTTTTAGAAAGATAAGGCCACTTATCTGAAAATGGGTGGGCACCATATTTGTGAATGCTAAACTATATCTATCTCTTCCCAAAGTCTAAATCCTAATCTACACTCAAAACCAAAAAAACAAACAAACATGAACACCTACATATGATTGTTTTTTCTATAGTCACTGTTGGAGCAATATGCTCTGGAGAAAAAATATAAAATGTAATTACACATCTTTGAATAAAGCAATATTCATATCTGGCAAAGAAGCTATTCATTCACAGGAGGGCACAGTTGGGGCTGTGTTGTCTAACTTAATCTTTACCTCTGCAGGTAACTAACTCCTGGCAAAGTACACTTTCTCTAAGTTGGAGACTACACGCTGGTTACTTTCAGGGTTAGTTGTCAAAGAAGTGTAGAGATTGTACCGTACAATGCCTGGATCCCCCTCACGTCATCCTTGGGGAGGTGAAATCCATAGGGATGCTGGTACTTATAAGTTGGGTACATCAGTGCCGAGGGGTCTGTGGAGTGGGCCAGGCCCAGTGCGTGGCCAAATTCGTGCGCAGCAACCGTGAACAAATTGAAACCTAGACAATATGAGAGAAGAGAAGACAGCATCAGCACAGCATTGTATTTTCCATATCTTCTGTCTTACAGGAGACTTTACACCCAAAACACAGTTCACTTATTTTTTTTCATAACTGGATTATTCAAAGGTTGGTAGCTTATTCTGGCACTTAGTTTTGCTTACTTCTTTCCCCGTTGGCTAGGAGAGGCTTGGGGGTGTAGGAAGTGGGAAATGTAAATCAATTAATTTTGTTCATTGTCAGTTATGCTCATTAGGTTGATAAAAAGGGTCTAATTAGAGCTAATAGTGGCAAAATGATAATAGTGGCAATCATATGTAGATTTAGGTCACAAACGCTTTACTAGTTCCCTGCTGTTACAGCCTACTCCTCTTTATCCACACGGGTTTCACACTGAAGATTTCCAGAGGACATGCAAGATGTTCTGGAACTTTTATACCCATCCCACCACGCTTCTCAGGAGAGCACTGATTCCCTCAAGTCATTTCCGATGTAATCCATTTCCAAGTACAAGTAAGAAACAGTAAATACTATGGAGGTGAAGCAATAGAGCTGTGTGTTGAGGAGGGGATTGCTGCTTCCTCAGATTATACGCTATGAACCAGAGATCAGACAAGTCTAGAACACAATGGGGGCAGGGTCTTTCCCTTAGAGTGTTCCCTTTTGGATTTTTGGCTTACTTGTTTTTCCTAGCCAGCCCCCCTAGTTAAAGGGTGGCTTGGGACGTTGAACCTCAAGGTTTCATGATGGAGGCCCAGAAGAAGGTACACTATTTTCCAGGTTATGGTGAATTGTGCATATATACCATTCGTTCCCATAGTCCACTTCTCAGCATTGTCGAAATGTGTATCTCCTCCCAGGCCTTCTCCAGGTGCAAATGCATGGGCTAGAGTCCCTCGAGGCCCATCGAATGGGTAGGAATCCCCATGATCTAAACAAGTGGGAGAAATGCCAACAGCACTTAGTCCTTCTAGCAGTTTGACAGGTATACAATGTTACAGGGAATGGACAACTTTCTGAATAGCACTGATACTTCTCATACAGATACATTTTCAGTATTTGTTTTTGAGAATAAGAAGTTCAATGTCAACTGAGAAATTAAAAGGCTATTTTATATTTCAAAGATAGTAAGCATAACAATAAAAAATGTTCTGTTATTGTTTTACTATGGTATATGTTACTTAGCGTGTGGCACACTGTGAATCCTGCCGTGCCATAGATTGCAAAAGGAGGCAGCACAGCCGGTCATCCGATAGCCACCTCCTTCACTGACAGGGCTGCAAGTGCATTGGTGGAGAGCAGCTTTCAACGTGAGATTGAGCTAAGACGGTACCCACAAACTGAACACGTGCGCGCTTTCTGTTTGTACAGCACAATGTAATTCAATACAATTTAACGAAGTGTCAAAAATTTCTCTGTCATTTCCATATACTTGTGTGTGTAAAACTCATGAAAGTAATAAAGGTGTTCAAAACTTCCTAACTTTTAAAGCTTCGTATATTTTTGTTTTATTGTCTATATAATTAACAGTTTATTACAAAGCTAATTGAAAAAGAGGAAGAATACATTAAGGGATGGTGTTGAAGCTACATTTCATAGTTTTTCAGGATTTTTGTGACATTACACTGTTTTGTTAAAAACCAACAGAACAAAGTTCTGGCGTGTCATTTCCCAGGTTGGGAAGCGGTACAGTTTAATCAGGTTGCCTGTGCTGAGGCACCTAGTGAAATGCAGCACAGTCTCTAGTCAGCTTGTATTTCAATTTAGGGGACAAGGCACAAGCATGAAATATGTTCACTCCATGGCCCCCAAAGCTGCCCTGGGCCACATGGTCCTGCCACTTTACTGGGGGCCGCCTTTGTCTTCTGGGAGGAACCGGCCCCACCATGGGCTATCTCTGCAGGGTTTATACTCAGGATTTGCTTGATCTTCTCTCTCCTAGCTTCTAAGCATGGTTTTCCCTAGTGACATTGGACTAAAATTAAGATCAAGACTTGAAATCAGAAGGACACTTAGAAATGCTATCCATGGAGGGTAAGAGGCAGTGGCACTTGCTTAGTTGGTCTATTAGAAGCTAAGAAGAGAAGGTAATTTCATGGCCTTTCCTTTGTTTACTAACTAGACAAGATTTCTCTGAGGAGAGCTCTACCAATCTCCATGCAAAATTATGCCCCTACTCCCTACCAGGGTGAGTAGGGGATGAAAAAGGGGGCCAGTTGGAGGCAGACCCAGTGATTCTCAAAGTAGTCTGCAAGTGGGGGAAAGGCAGCAACACCACTCTCCTACCCACTGCTGCAGGGGCAAAGCTGTCAGGGCCGCAGTAAAATTTGTTTCCTCCAGTGAGGATTTAAGATGGGAGATTCTTGGCTAACATGGAAGGGAATATGAAGCAACGAACATCATTATGGGAATAGCGTGAGGTCATGTGGCCCCCCAACCAATGGGAAAGCTAAATCGGACAGAATCTATTGCTGATGGGACAAAACCACAGTGAAAACTGGTGATACTGTGTCCATTCTACAGCTCAGCCTAATGATGACAAGAAATGCTGAGAATCCCTCTGGTTCTATTTTCTGTCCTGGTGAAGATCATGGCGTTGCCATGATCTTGACCTCTGCTCATCACATTACTCCGTGCAGAAGGATTGTGCTGATCACTTGGATTAAATATTGTAGAAGGAATAGTATTAGAACATTCTCCTCTGGATTAGTAGACAAAATCCAAGAAGCACCACAGTACCTCCTGTTTCAAAAGATATCATAATATCTGCTTCTCCTGAATTTATTCTCACAAAGTTCAGAGGAACAGCACTACTCCAGGCCTGTAAGGCCATCTCCACTGCCTTGTCCACGTCCGCAGAAGTCATGGAAGATGTGTATTTGGCTATTCTGTGAAAACAGAAGGAACATGTTTTTCTTTTAGTAAACAGTAAGTGAAGAAGCCAAGAATTATAGTTTGCATTAAAATTTTAAATATTAAACACAAATCTACAATTTAGATTTTTTCCTTCAAAACATTAATTCTTATTTTGCTTTCATATTAGCTAAATTACTGAACCATGGTAAACAATAAGAAAAGTAAAGTGAAGAAAGAGTTAAGATAATCTGGTGCTGAAACCGTTTGTCTTTCATTGTTACTGTATTGTAACTAATTTTGAAGAATAATACCTGTAGAACTGTACAAGTACCAAGAAGTCCATTTTTCCTAATGTGGTTTTAATTGAGAAGAGATTTCTTTTTCCCCATAAGGGACTGAGATTTTTCAATTTTAAAAAATAAAAATGTGGAGTTTGGAGGTTTTGCAAACTCTTATTCAAAGGCCATCAGGATCTCCCCAGGGTCATGGAGGAATATTTGTTACCTTAAAATAATGCATTTTAGAAGAGGAAGTGTTCACTTGAACTGAAAAAGGCTTGAGTCTTTCATCAAACCCTGGTGTGACAATGACATCTGCAGGCAGAAAACTAAAGAGGTTTTTTTTTGGGGGGGGGCGGGGACAAAGGGTTATAGAGAGAGACAGTTGGTGGTGCCCTAACACCTGCTGCTCTGGTGCCGGGGTGGGGTGTGGTGGGGATGGGTTCTGGCAGCATGCCAAGAGGGTCGGGAGGCAGGCACTTCTCCCTGGGACCTGGGCGGGGACAGAATAGTGGGTAAAGAATGAGAAGCCAGGTCTGCGAGAGCCAGCCTGGAGAGCAGGACTGAGCCTACTTTCTTTCTCTTTCTCCAGCTCCTAGTCCAGTACCTTGCACATAGTGGGTATTTAGCAAATATACTTGATGAATGGATGAGTTCATGGATAAAAACTAGTAGTTTCTGGAGCCTCCTCAGTGGTTTTCAAATTTTAGGACCCATGATAACTATGTAGAGAGATTTTTAATGTACTGGTGTGATCCAGAAATCTGCATTTTTCCAAGTGTTCTAGGTTATTCTAATGCAGATGATACAACTGCAACCAGAAACCAACAGAGGTAATCCCACACCCCCCTCCCCAAAAGGGACCGTGTCTCACAGAGAGGATGGTAAATAGCTCAACTCAACAACTCAGCATCAGGTAGAGAAGAAACTAGATCTTTTAACTCCAGGGGTTGGGGCCAAACACTGCAAGTTGAAGAGGGGAAACCAGAAGGACCCCTACAGGGACCATTTAATGCTTTCAAAATGTACCAAGCCCAGTGCATAACAAGAATCTGTGATTTATCACAATTCTGTGCAGTTAGTACCTTGAATTTCCCCCACTTTATTGACAAGGCAGCCACATCTTTGAGCTGACTGTGTGTTGGGCTGGAGAGGCAGGGACAGAGACAGAAAGGGCCCCAGAAGAGGATACAGAGGAGTCACAACCCAAGGTCAAGAGATCAGTAAAGCAATGGTGATAATGGCTAATAATCTTTAAACACAGACTAAGGGCTAGACACTGTTTTAAGCACTTTTTAATGTGATAGCCCATCTAATTCGCACAATTTAAGAGTTAATAATAATAATAATCTACATTTTATGATTTGTCAGTATTTGAGCCCAGTTCTATCTGATTCCAAAGGCTATGCACATAAGCACTATGATATGTTTTGTCTTTTCAAACCCTCTGTTATAAGAAGTTATTCTGGAATCCAGTAGCTATATAGACAGAATATTAAGCCTCTCGTGACCGGGCAGAGCAAGAGTGGATGGGCAGTGGGAGGGTACAGAGGGGGTTTGAGGGCTGCCAATTATCACAAGAATGTATTACACTTCTCCAAGTCCCAGATTATCCTGATCTATGCCTTCTGCTTTTGCTGCACATATTCACAGACTAAAATTCTATGACAGCTTATTTTAATAAAGTGATGAAAAAGATTCCATGGGTTTATATAATTTTTTTATGTCTTACCCTTAATCATCTCATAATCACTGTGTGTTCAACTCCTTATACATTGTTTTTCCACGAGTGGAACAAATACTTTTTGTGTTTCTTAAGCTGAAGCCGACATATAGTCGTGTTCAGAGCTCCACCTCCAGGACTCACAAGCTCATAGCAGCTAACAAGTGGCCTAGTTTGGGCCTTAATTTGATCCCAAGGACTAAGGGTTGTACTGGTACAGTTTAACAACTGGATCTATGACGAAAATTGTTGATTTGTAGGATTTGCAGATTTTCATACTGTAAACACTCTCATTATAGCTAATTTCAAGCTTCCAACGTGCCACGTAGAACACCAAGTTGGGAAGAATTGAGCAAGGGCACATCATTTTCATGATAACAAATAAAATATATGTAAATGACTTGGGGAACACAGATACATGTAGTAGAATAATTAAAAAGCAATGTTTTTCTTACCTTTGTTTTTCATATAATTTGTTTAATTGTAAGCTTATGTCCTTTCATTTTTAATAATGGCTTTGTTTACTAACCAGCTCACAAAATTCTTGGAAATTTATGAACTAACTGGCTGCAAAATTGCAGAAAATTTAAGGATTGGCTCTTGTGAGCTGTCAGTAGCCAGCTCCAGCATACCACTTGCTGGGACTATTTAACAGCCCATTCTTTCTCCATGTCCAGATCTCTACTGGATGTGTTCATCCAGACAGCGAAATCTGATCCTGACCCTGGTGGACTGTTCTCCTTGCCCTGGGATTAAATTCCAAACTGCTTTGCCTCAAGTTCAAGATGCCTTCCGGGCTGCTCTCCACCACCAGCACTGCCTGCGCGTTCCACTCCCTGCAGCTGTGCTTGGTCTGTTTTTCTACCTGGAAAGAAAATCCCTGTTTGTGACACTTGGGGCAAACAGAAATGGGGGCTGCTCTCCTTTCTCCAAAGCCACTTCTGTCTAGCATGCTAGAGGCCCACAGGTCCAAGCAGTCTCCGCCTACTTCCAACCCCGCCCTCAGGCGGAGGGCTAGGCATCATGAATGGTCTAACTCAGCCGGACCTGCGGACCTTCGAGGAGGCTTGTGCCGGCCCCAGAAAGGGGACAGTGTTGCTGGGAAAGAATTCCTGTGTGATGACCTAGAGCACAGAGAGGATGAGGTTATGAGGTTATGACTACGCATGTCCCCTCGGACTACACAGAATCCTTGCTCCGGGCAGGAGGCCAGGTGACCCGGGAGTGTGGAGGTGGAGGGGGAGGGGAGCATTAAGTGGAGCAACCAGGAGGAGCCTGGGGCTAAGCACCGACAGATAAAGGACGAATTATCTCCAAAATCGAATGCCTACAGCGGATACTTAATAAACCATCAATAAATGACTTTTTAAATCCACGGAAACAATTTATTGATAAGTGAGTTTTATCATACCCTTCTGAGAGAACAGGTTGTTTTAAGAATGCTGGCTGATATTGCCAGGTTATTAACCCTAGACTAGATTTTTTTCTTTAAAGATAAATGTGTTGTCTCTAACTGGTAAAATTGTAATACCTGAGATGGCCAGCCGTTCCAATAATCCTGAGATCACATTTGCTGGTGAATCTCCATTGTCATTGTGTAAAAATCGGACCTAAAAGTTCTTCTTCTTTCTTGTAGTTATGATGAGTCATGATATTTATAAAGATCAAAAGTTTTTTTTGTTTTTTTTTTCTTTTTTTAGGAAAGAGAGAGAAGGAGTGTTTCTCTATGAATTTGGAAAGACTTAGATCTCATTACCTGTATGTCAAGGTATTTTTTTTCCACTTGGGTTCGCCTGGGAAGAGGCGGTAGTTCGCCATATCAGGAACTCCACAGCGAGGCCTCTTGATCACATCCATCGTGGAACGGTCCAACTTCCCCGTGACTTGGAGGCCAAAGAATGCTTGCAGCTCCTTAATCTTCTTCACTAGGGAGTTGCTTCCTCGTGCAACCATCTCACCAACCTGGTGCCCTCCTTTCCTTGTGTAATACTTGTCGAGATACGCCTGAAAGGGAGAGGCAGGCTGACACACCTACAGCACAGTCCCTGGGAAGCACTAACGCTCCGGCAGTGTCTTCCGGGTGTTCGAAAAATACTGTGTGGAGTATATTTCCATTTTTGAGAAAATTTAGCTGTATTTGCATAGATAAAGCTTAGAAAGATATACAGTCTGCCAAATGATTAACGATGGTTGTCTTTTGGCAGTGACAAATTTAGTTTGCTTATTTACTTTTTGCTCACCTGCATTTTATAATTTTCCTACAATGAGTAGGATTGTAAGGGAGAAAGATAGTGGAAGGGAAATGAAAAATTTTTCCCCATGAATCATTTATTTGTCTTTGACATCTGTGCCCAATTTGCAAAACAGACTATCTCATTTCTCTGATAAGCAGTTATTACTATCATTATCCTTCTGCATCATTGTTTTTAACTCTCAGAGGCTTTATATTCAGCTTCTTATCTCATACAAAAACAGAGAATCAATCTGTTTCCCTGCTGAGGCAGTTCATCAATTCAGGTGTGTTCAGTACTTGGGGTTGGCCTTGTTTCCAGGGAGCAGGCTTCCTGGGACAGGCTCTTTGGCCCTGGAGACAACTGAAATTAAACGTGCCTTCTAAAGTTTTCATTTGCACATGAAGGCTTAGACCTTTCATACATCGCTTGACACTCTTTTTCGTGGCTGTTTAGGTGGAGTGAAGCAGAGTCACGAAATGTGGAGTGTGGAGCCTGCTGTTGACCCAGGAAATGCTCTCACCCAACTCATTTCAGACAAATAAAGAGCAAATAAAGGTTTATGTATACATTTTTATTATATATAATATGACAATATATTATATATATTTTTATTATATATAAATAGTATTTATATGTCACATTTGCATTTATATTCTACATAAATCATGTATATTTTAATTTATGTTATATATATTTATATATGTAAATAATGAAACATTGGCAGCAATTTCAATGTCTAAGAATAGGAAATTTGTTAGATATATTTTAATCTATTCATATGAAGTAATACTAGCCCTAGGGTAATTCTGTTTTTTTTTGTAGAATGAGTTTGGAAGTGTTCTTTCCTCTTTGATGTTTTGAAATAGTTTAAGATGGATAGTTATTAATTCATCTTTAAATGTTTGGTGGAATTCACCTTTGAAGCCATCTGGTCCTTATTTGTTGGGAGTGTGATTACTGCTTTGATTTCATTGCTAGTAATTGGGCTGTTTAGATATTCTATGTCTTACTGGTTCAGTGTTGGAAGGTTATATGCTTCTAGAAATTTATCTTTTTTTTTCAGATTGTCAAATTTGTTGACATATAATTGTAATATTCTTTAATGATTCCTTGTATTTCTGTGGTGTCAGTTTTTACTTATCTTTTATTTAGGATTTTATTTATTTGGACTTTTTTCTTTTTTTCTTGATGAGTTTGGCTAAGGGTTTGTTAACTTTGTATTTTCAAAGACATAGCTCTTGGTTTCACTGATTTTTTCTATTTTTAAAAAATTTTTATTTCTGCTCTGACCTTAATTGTTTCCTTCCTTCTGTTTACATTGGGTTTTGTTTGTTCTTCTTTTTCTAATTTCTTTAGATGTAAAGTTAGATTGCTTATTTGAAATTTTTCTTGTGTCTTGAGGTAGGCCCGTATGGTGATGTACTGTTTTCCTTTGAAGAATTATCAGATGTTCTGAGAGCCTAAATCATTCTGGGAACTTCCTCGCAAAAGCTACTGACAAGGTTTTGGCATACTTTTCAGGGTCAAACGTTCAATTAGGCAAATAGATGTGAGCTTAGAGTTGTGTTTGTGTTAATTCTAACACTTGCCTGCTGTTGGCTCAACACCTGATTGTGACGCTGGGTGAAAGGTTTCAGGACTCCTCAGCGTTGTCCCTCTTGCCCCCCTCCCTTCTCACTCCCCCAGTGTTAAAATCACAGGGTTTTAGGGTACAGGTGATCCTCTCTCAACTTCTCTTTCAACATTTGATAGATAGAAATAATAGAGTCCTAGAGGGTCTGTCCAAGCAAGCCAGTGAGTGGCCCAGATTTCCCCCATCTCCTCCTTCACTGCACTTTCCCAGTGTCCTTCCTGAGAATTAAGTGTTTAAAACTCAAGAGTTAAGAGTGCTTCAACACAAGGTCAAGTTCAGGATATGGTTTCTTCAACATTACTTTCTACTTTGGCTAAGTCATAGAAAGGGAGTTGTGAGAACTTTTGGTGCTGTGTGATAAATCCCTAGGTCTAAGAAGTTTTGGGAAATTCCTTTAAATTCTTTTGATTTCAGCTCTTTCATCTATAAAATAGGGTTGTTATTTGTCCTGCTGACCACAGCAGTGTGAGGATCCAATGAGATCCTCACTGTGAAAATGCTTTCGAATGTATCAAAAGGCTTTGAAGTGCGTACTCTTTTATTCATGAATTCCACTTCTGGAAATCTATTCTGAAAAATAATCCTTTCGATTAGGCTGATGTATAAAAATGCTCAGAGAAACATTATTCATGTGGAAATAACTTATGTGTCCAACAAAATAAATCATTAAATTAAAACTCACCTATATTCTAGTATATTTGCAAAAATACTTTCTTGTTGCATAATAATCACTGAGAAAGGTAGGAACCAAATATAATAATAATTAAAAAATGTCTTCATGCACAGAAATTGAAATGGTAGTAAAGACAACTGAATTTGCCCTGACCAGTGTGGCTCAGTTGTTGGGCGTCATCCTGCAAAATGAAAGGTCGCTGGTTCCATTCCCAGTCAGGGCACATGCCTATGTTGCAGGTTTGGTCCCTGGTCAGGGTGCATATAAGACACAATGGATTGCTGTTTCTCTCCCTCTTTTTCTCCCTCCCTCCCTCTCTCTATAAATAGATGAAATCTTAAAAAGAAAACCCTGAATTTAACAATTTGCATTTGGAAGGTTTTTATTTTTATTTTATTTTCTTTAATTATGAGTTCATAATAATGTAATAATAAACAATTATTATTATTATTATTACTATTATTATTACTTTTAATCCTCACCTAAGGATTTGTTTATTGATTTTAGAGAGAGAGAGGAAGCCTAGGGGTGGCGCCAGGTGGCAGGGGTGTCAGGGATTGAGGGAGAAATAGAAACATCAGCATGAGAGAGACACCTATCCGTAGCTTCCTGTATGTGCACTAAGTGGAGATTGAACCTGCAACCTAGGTAAGTGCTCTGACCAAAACGCGCAGCCTTTTGGTCCACATGATGATGTTCCAACTGAGACACTTAGCCAGGGCAGTTTATATTATTTTCAAGTACAATTTAACAACCTGCTTTAAATGTATTGATATCGCTAATTTTTAAAAAAACAAAACAAAAAGTAGAATAAAACCCTGAGTTAAGACTAAATAAGCATCTTATCATCCATCATTTTTGAAGCCTTCGTGTTTATCAGCAAATCAGAATTTGAAGGGTATAAGCGGACATTAAGCAGATCAACTAAAAACCTGTTCATCTTTTCAAGTATAGATTATTGTGTTTGTGGGTTTGAGAAGAAGTATATGGGGGTTGGAAATGTTGCCTGTCTTATGTTTCCAGGAACAAGAAACCGTTTGTTCTCTCTTAGTGAGTGATCTAGAAGGAAATGAATGGTGTGGATGCTGCTTATCCTGACACAAGCTCCCAGGCCCAGGTGACCCACTGGCCTTGCCTGTCTCTGGGACTCATCCTGCACCCTCCTCTTCCTGTGGTCTCTCAGCTCCTGCCACACTAGCCCAATGCTCCTTCACTCCTTCCCACCCCCCACCCCCACCCTGACTCGCCTCCAAGGGCTTCATTTGCTGCTTCCTCTGCCTTGACTGCTCTGTCTCCAGAGCTTCACATGACTGGTTGTTTCATGTAGTTCAGGTTCATCTCAGATATCACTTCCTCAGTGAAGCCTTCCTGAACTTCCCAGTGAAAATGTGCCACACTGTCATAGCCATTCTCTGTCAACCTGACTAATTTTTTTCAGCATCTCCTATTACTTTCTGAAATAATCTTGGACATTTGTTGACCAATTCTTGGACACTTGTTTATCTCCTTCCAGCACCTCCCCACCCACTCTGTCATCCCCAAGTAAGTACCGTAAGCAAAGGGGCATTACTTGTTTTGCTCACTGACTTTTATCACAAACTTAGAACCAACCCTGGTGCATAGCACAAAATAAGCAGTCAATAAATAATTGTTGAATGAATGAACTTACACTGCCTGTTTTCATGTTGTTTTATTTGTTGTGTTTTAAGGCTGCCAAAGTTGTTATAAGCTTCAATAAACTCTAAGGTTGGACATTAATTTTGTTTTAGTCACTGGGACCCATATTAGAGGTTTGCCCAGATTATTCTAGTCTCCTGAAGAGTGGCACCTGCTTTTATCCAGAGCTGATGACTGGGGCTGTTGAAGGCAGGAGCAGGTGCTGTTTGCTGGGTGGCAAGGTATTGACAAGTTTTCTAGGTCCTCAGGCGAAGGTCCTTCTGAGGGAATGTCATAGGGAAAATTGACAAGAGCTGACTTATTTTGGAGGAAAGGAAGTAAGGGATCACTAAAGATCCCCAGCATTCCAAGGCTGCCTAATTCTTTCCAAATGCTCCTAGCAAGGATAACTTTTCCCAAGACTTTCTAGCCTTATTCCTGTGTAGACGGCTCAGGGTTTAGCCAATTTTTTTCTGTACAGGGCTGAAAGTTAATATTTCTGGTTCTGCATTTTGGTACAAAAGTAGTAATAGATGATATGTAAGTGGATAGGTGTGGCTGGTATTGCTGATGACCAGTTTGTCTGAACCTGCACCAGAATCACACTTTTCATCCACCTCAGATCAATTCTGGCCACAGCATTATCCTCCTTCTGGGTCACAAAGTCTCTGTAGTTTCCGAATCAAAGAGGCACAAGGTTGGGTGAAGGAAAACTGCAGTCGGGGAAAAGGGACCCAAAGCTAGGTGCACCAGTGCAAGACAATTTGAAACAGACCCTGGTATTTGAGATATGCTATTTTGAATTTAATTCATTTCAAAGTGGGCTCAAGTTGAAGGAAGTTTAACAGGCCAGTACCTTGTCATTCACTGTACTGTTTATGTGCAGGGCTGATTGATATTCAAAATGTTTAATGACTGGTGTGGCAGGGGGACTGACCAATTAGAATGGATGAGTGGCGTAAACAGTCAGCGGGCCCAAGCTGACTTTTATATAGGTCAGCTCTGAAAATCAGCTCTGCAGCACAACCACAGAATCAGTACACAGGGGTAGCCTGGCAGGTAGGGAAGCATCTGGAGGCAGGGCTGGCAATCACAGATGTGCTATCCTTTGACAGACTCCTGAACAGGAAGGCCCTGCTGCAAAAACATCTCACCCACACACCTTTCACTACTGTTGGAGGTACCATCATTAGATACTTGTTTCTTTAGGTTTAAGATCACCATCTTCCTGTTAAATTCAAAAAGCTCTTAGAAGCAAATATATGTGCACTGAATCACTTTGAGTCACATGTAGCCTTTGCAAAAATTCTAATATGAATTATTGGTATTAGATCCCTTCTAACAGTCAGTTGGGAAGGACTTTAAAAAAATACAAAAAGTATAAGTAAATAAGCTACTTGAGGTATATGCTTTAGAGTGGAAAGACTCTTAAATGAGAAGCAGATAGGCACCCAGGAAAAACTTGGTTCACTTTAGATTTTGACCAAGTTTTTGAGCAGAGTACAAGTGTGCTGCTAGGAAGCTTAGCACTATGTGTGAATCTTCCACCTCAATTTTAATTTTTCTGTCTTTATTTTCCTCTTACATTATTCCTCAAATACTTCTTTGATCTTTTTGTATTGCATATATATTTTTTGCAAGCCACCTCAAGTTCTACCCAGCAAAGTACCTAGGTAACCCATTATTCATGTATTTATTTAGTCATGCAACCTGGACACCTAATGTGCACCAGACAGCAGTCTTAGTTGCACAGGAGATAGTATCTATTAGACTTCAATGGACTTATAAGATGATTTTAACACAACAACAGATTTTTTTCCTTATTTTCTCGTTACCCCCTTTTAGTGTTCTGGGGCAGGGGAAGGAAGAGGGGATTCTGCAAAGATTCACAAACCTGTGCGAGGCGGTAGTTGTTCTTCGAGGTCCTGGGGGTGGCTGCAAATAGGGAGGGGGCTGCAGTGGAAAAGTTCAAAGCCGTGATGAGGAGGAGAGCAAGGCCAGATGCAGGGAGCACCTTCATCTCCTCAAGGTAGCTTGGTAATTATATCAGCCTCGGGATGGCAGACAGTACACATTTGCACTTCGACCTCGAGCTGCTTTTATAGAGTCAAACAGGTCTGGACCCTCAGAGCAAGGATGATTCATGTCTCAGAAGGTAATTATACAGTTCATTTCTCTCCCTGATGATGGGGTAACACAACAGCACACAGGAGTCAGGGAAAGCTTCATTCTTTGCACTTTACCAAGTCATAAAAGGAGATACGCAGTCACTTTTAATGAATTTTGTCAGCTACTTACACAAATTGTGGTAAACTTGAGTAAAACCCATCTAAACTGAATCATTTGATTAGTCTCAATTTAAGGGCCTTTTCCCATTCTGATTATCAAAAAGGTAAGTGATAAGAATGTAATTTAATTTGTCCTCGGTCATTCTGGGCTCCCTACTCACTCAGTCCAATTGTCTGTGTCTTCTGCACCCACTTGGGTATTTCTGAGTAACGAATGCTGTCCGTAATGATGGTTGTGGGGTGTGACGATCCTGAATCATCAGGGAAGTGTTACTGTGTACTGCGTTGACTTAGGATGGGAAGCAAACTGATTAATTGTTAGAAAGAAAGTTAACACAACAGATATATCTTAGTTAATCAAGACATTAGACAGAACTACTCATTTTCTGCTCACTCTGGTTAACTGGGGATCATGTTCTTTTTCCTGGCTATGATTAAGACTGACCGTGATCTGGAGTGTTATGGTGGGGAAAGCACTTTGGCATCAGACAAACTGATGGTATATTTTGTTTAAGATACTTCTGGGCTGTGTAACTTTCGGCAAGTAATTAAACCTCTCTGAACATCAGTTTTTTGTTTTGTTTTGTTTTTTGTTTTGGTTTTAATCTGCAAAACACTGATGATCATACTGTGTGAAAGCTTCTTAGTGTTACAGGGGCAGCATAGGTATAGCATGGTGTCAGTCGGCAGGACTTGGCATTGAATAGGCATGTGTTCAAATCCTAGTTCGGAACCCTGTTCAGATGGCTTTGAACTGGTTACTTATTCTCTTACAGATGTGGTATTGTCTTCTGTAAAAAAGAGGAAAAATGCCTACTTTGTAGAATTGTCATAAAGTAGTAAATCAGGTCATAGGAAGGCCCTTAGCAGAGTGCTCATTAGACATTAGCTCTGGTAAAATAATATTCAATTTATTTTTTTACTTTGGTGCCAGACATCTGGTAGGCTTTTAATAAATATTTTTCGAGTAGATGAATGGATGACTCCATCAATGGTTCTTAGAGTGTGGCTCCTGGTCCAGCAGCATCACTGTTTCCTGGGAACTCGTTGGAAAAGCAAATTCTCAGTCCCCATGAAGACTTAATGAATCAGAAACTCTGGGAATCGGGCCCAGCAGTCTATGTGTTAACAAGCCCTGCAGGCAATTCTGGTGCATGCTAAAGTTGGAAAACCACTGGATTAGTTGCCCAAGTAAGATCGTGAGGTCTGGGATGAAATGAAAAATTATATTCAAAGTGCCAAGAACATTCCAGTCACAGATGCCCTTACCATACAGAGCAGTATTTTTTTTTTTAGTGATGACATACCTGGTATTTAAAAGTCATTTGTGAAGTCTGTTGCAAATAATTTATTACTAATACTTGTTAAGCCATGCAAGCATAGTAGGCAGTAAGACAGGCATGAGCAGAGCAGGAATGGTGGGCCAGGTGTAGAAGGTTAACAGGGTTGAGAGCCCCAGGTGACTAGCAATGGGCAAAATGATAAGCCCTTGCTTGACCACTCCCTTCAGCATGAATCCCTGAAAGATGACATCTAGGCTTCTGCTGTGTTTCAGGTCTAGGCTCAGAGAAGAAGCAAAATCAGACAGAATGACGCCATGGCTGACATCAGGATCAGCTGCATTGACTAATGACCTGGCTCCTACCAATCATTGGAGACCATGATGGGGTATACCTGGAAATCTTATGAATGTTCTATGAGGATTCCCCCCGAAGGCTTCAGATAAAAGCCCTCAGAATGAAAGACTCAGGGCAGCTCTCTCCATGGAGCACAACTGTGTCTTTCCCCAACCCCTGCTTTACCCAGGGCTTACTCTGGAACAGGCTTGAACCTCTTTTCCCTCTTTCATCTCTTACAGTGTGTCAGTCTCTCTCTCTTGCCCACCTAAGTTCCAGGGCCCTTCTTTTGCTGTAACTTGTTTCCTTAGCCCATTTCTTCTATGACTCACTTCTTCTATCTCACTGACTTTCTAAATAAACTTTCTCTTATAGTTTGAGTCTTGTCTCTGAACCCTTTCTTAGCCAGAACTGAAGAACTGAGGTTGCTGAACTAAGGTCAATACCTGTTGCTGTTTCTCGCTGCTAACAAAAGTATGTGAATGACCTTCACATTTAGATTAAATTCAAGGTTATTCCCATAGTGATTCTCTCTGTCTCTTTCTCTTGCTCTCATTGTTGCATTCTGATATATTTTCCCATGTGAAAGGGAAAATGGTGGAGTTACAGCTGATGTATAGGGTCTAGTGAATAACCCCAGTTACTCAACAAGAGTTTGTTGCACATGTGAACAGCATCTCTGTCACGTACTCTGAGACACACAACACATGATTCTCAGGAGAAATAAAGAAAGAAAAATACGGATCTAGTAGACTCATTCTATTCACTAAATTGTAAGCTCCTTTGAAAGCTGATAGGAAAGTCACAATCAAGTTTGTTTTATAAGTGACTGAATAAATGTACAAACACATCCTCATGGTCACTTTTTGTTGTAAGGAAAGAAAGTTACAATGATCTTTCAAAGTTTGCATTTATATGCCTTCCTGTCCTCTGCAGTGCTAAATATACCTTTATAGCAGCTGCCAAAATTGAAGAAGGACTGAATCCTTGAAACTTTCCTCTACTTGGTCAACTTGTTCCTTTGTTTTCTCCCCAAACCACTGTTCCAACTCATGGTAATAACCACAGTGCAAAGCAGACAGGGAAAGCAGCGTTTGAATGAAAGGAATGACAGTAAGAAACACTGGGACCAATAGAGAGAAGATACCCTCACCTCTGGAACTCTAAAGAGTATGCTGAATCCCACTTTTAGAAGCAGATTGAGGTAAATAACTGCCTACAATGTGTGATATAGAGATTCCTACCAGGTTCCAGTATCTGCTCTTCTAATGCATTTATATAATCAACCTCCATACTCCCAAGTATGCCACTGCAATGGTGAAATGCAAAAACTGAAGAGTAATAGTGATTTGTGTTCATAAATCACTTAAAAATTAGTATGAATAAATTTTAGCTCAAGGTCAGTGCTAGCCAATATCTGGAACTTTTCCAAAAACAATGACTAACTCAAGCTGGTAATTTCTCACTAAGTGTTTCCTTTTCCTAATACTTTTCTCTTCACAGGGGAGCTAAGTCTGCTTTCTTTCTATTATTCTTGTATGAAATTGAAATCCAAATCATTCCAACCTAAAAAAATCATATCAAAGCAAGTCAATGACTATGAGGATTTACAGAAACAAAGTCAAAAGAATGGCGGGGTGGGCTACAATTCCCCACAGTTACATTACCACTGGGTGGTATTGCGGCTGGACAGTCCAGGCCATTGCGACTAGGCTGTTGTTTCTAATTGCCTTTGTTTCATTCCCTCAGCTTTCACAGACTTCAATGGAAAAGTCTATTGGTTGGGTCTGTGTCAGGTGCCCTCACTGGATGTCCAGAGGCAAAATGCAGAAGGGCCTCCAAACCTGGCCTCCATTCTAGGAGGCAGGATACATTCCATAGAGACCCCCAGTTTCCTCTCTGGGAGACAGTTGGCTGCAGGGTAGTCAGTGAACAAATTAAAACCAAACCCAGAAAACATCCACCACAATCTGTGAAACCTCCTCAGCCATTTTCCGCTTTGTAACAAGGGGTATGATCTCATGATATCTTAAGAGATAGTCTATCTCAGAAGGCTATAGAGAGGATTAAAATGGCTAATGGTTGCTTAATTCTCAGTTCAGTTAACAAATGAAAGAGGTTTCATAATTGTTTTTCATGATTTATTCCCAGAAATATTGTGATGGAATAATGAAAATGAATATATGGCATTTTCTTCTAAGGTATCATTGCTTATTAATTGACCATTAATTAAAATAATAGTTATGGAGAAAAATAAAGCATTACATCATTAAATGTACACATTGACATACTATATATTATTTATGTGTTAGTTGTTTGTCTTTTACCACTAAGTTCCATAAGGATAAAGACTCTATTCTGTTTTCACAGCAGTATCCTTAGCACATAGGACAGTGTCTGGCACAAAATAAGGATTCAATAAAGTGTTGTTGACTATGTAAATGCATAAATGAGTGAGTGATTAAACCTAGGAATAAGGGACACAAGATTGTCCTGAGAGGGATAAGTGTTAAATCAACTCATAAAATGATTCAAAGGTGTATAGCATTATGCTTAGGTGTCAAACTTTTATTACACCCTTATTATATATCAGCCATTCAGCCAAGCACCTCATGTACATTTTTCACACAACTTTAAAACATCTCATTTTTCAAGTGAAGAAACTTAGGCTTAGGGAGGTAAAGTCATGTTGATATACACATAGATATTAAGTGGTTGCTCCAAGATTTTAGCACAGATCTGTTAGAGTTTAAAGTCTATGTTCTTGACATATGACAGTCACAGGAAACATACACACATTGGTGCCTATGCCAAGCAGTGTCCTCGGGGACACTGAGCTCTAGTTGGCTGGCAGGCAGACGGGCCACTTAGCTGACTTCAGCTGCCAAGCAGCTCTCAGGCAGTCCTGTGAGTCTTGTCTTCAGTGAAGGGGAGCCAACCAGGCTGCCCAAGCTCCCTGACTGGTGATGACGTTTCTTATCGCTGATGATCCAGTTGTTATTTTGCTTTCTATATTTCGATCTACAGTGAATTTAGCTTTCATAAATGATTACATTTCTGGATTTACAAGGAGTTTACTCACAGTCTGCAAGAATGCCTCCCAGTGAGGCAGGCTG